TGGACATGGCGGAGCCGCGTAATAATGTCGTCACGCACTACTCTCTCATGTGGATTTCAGGCAGCAGGTGCACAAGGGGAAAGCCTTCCCGGCGCAACGCCCATTTCAACACAATGCAGGGCCTCGCGCAAGGCAACAAGAAGTTTGCAGCCAGGTGGGGGAACTGGCCATCACCTTTGATCTGCAGTACGTGGTGTGCGCGCGGTGCAGCCAAAGTTGTTGCGGCATTCGTCCAAGGACTGGCGGCTTCCACATGCTGGGATGAGGTGGACCACCTGCTTGGCTTGGTCACCCAACACACCGCTCTGGCGGGAGGGAGGCAGAGTCTACTGCCTGAAGTGCAAGGCGCGCGCTGTGCCGAATGGACGTCGCAGGCAGACAATTGAAAAGGAGCGGAATACATACATACATCCATCCATGCATGCGTGCGTGCATCCATCCATGCACGCGCGCATGCGTGCGCGCATGCATGCGCGCGCGCATCCATCCATCCATCCATCCATCCATACATACATACTTACATACACACCACAGTTGGCATTCAGTCATTGAAAGTGAACAGGAAGCGCGTCACTGCGCACTTTAAAGGATAGGGCGCAACTACAAAATGGATACAGGTATACCAAAGATTTCATTTACAGCGCAATTTTTCAATGCATAAAGCCTTCTTTAAACTGAAGCGTGCTGGTATTACAGTATACAGTGTTGAGATTGTCGCTGTTGCCATCAAGGCTGAAGATGAACAAAACCCAAGGGACTTTAGTTGGTTTTTTAAATTGCAGTCGATTGGAGGCTGGAGAGTGAGGGGGAGTGAGCAGGTATGGGCGTATTAAACTACCAAATGAACTTTACCAAGTTGTAGAAAACCAAATTGTAGAAATTCCAACCTGCAAAAATAGAGAAATTCACATTGATGAGTATGATGCTGATGATATTGTTAGTAAAATTGAGAAGGTGAAACAGGTCATCACCAGGAGGTTTTTTGCAGGAGCAGGCAAACGCCACATCTGCCAGACAATGGTTGATAAAGGCTACGCAGTATTATTTGCATGCCCGATTAGTAGGTTATTAAAGGATTTTTTGGGTATGAGGTTTGGTGGGAATGAAATAGAGCCAATTGATTATTCAGGGTTTGTTTGTTGTTATGGTATTTGACCAAAACTAATCCATTGGTCTGAGTGGTTTTTTGGAAAAGCAACTAGTTTGTTGAGCAAAAACATATAATAAGCAACAGGTGATGCCAAACAAGTAAAACCAGCTCAGGAGCTGACAAATACCAAAGGTTATGAAAAAATATGCTGACGCAACGATTGACATATTCAATATGTTTGAGCGCAATATGTAGAAGATGAAGCTAAACAAAATCAAGAACTGTACACTTGTAAACAACATACCAACAACTACAGTAAACTGATTGAGAAATACTTTAAATATACTGATGATATTACGTCGTCAACCTACAACATAGCGTCTTTGAATACGACCCGTAAACATGTATCAACTGAGACTAAGAAACTGGAAAGCAGAAAACCATGAATATGAACTTGGTGAATCCTTGATACGCAGGGAATAAATCCGAAAGCCAGGGTCTTCAATGTAAGTTTCATTTACTGAGCAAATATTGTTAAAGCAATTGTTACCTCGGTGAATGTGAACACAAATATGCTTCAATAATTAGAGGTTGAGAAAAACTTCATACTTGCTTGGTGTTCAACTTGCCATTCTGCTTAAGATAGTAGCATTGGTGGTGCTATTACAATATTTGATTATAACAATTCTCTTGTAGAACTTTTCATGAATGGGCTCGGACAGCCTTAGCAAGATGTACAGGTTTGAATACAGTAAAATTCTACAGGTATAATAATGATACCAATGATGACTTTCATGCAGGATTCATTTTAGCCTACTATTACAAAAAGCAGGATAAATTTTGCAAAAGAAAAGCACAAAAGACGGATATGTAAATGTCTAGTGGTTCTTGGATAATGAACATAGTTTCCAAACCAATGCAGCATTGTTTGAAGCCGGGACTGACTACAACGTTGTACTTTTTGTCGCCCATACTACTTTTGTACATATCCTAACATCAAATGTCTTTAAATAAGCTTTCAAAATTACATTGTTTGCAACTACAATTACATCTACAACAATAAGGCATTATATTATCCAGTGACTGAAACTCAAGGTTAGAAACCCTTTGGCAAGTTGATTTATCGGTTCATAACATTGCAACCTTTCATATCAACATGAAATCCGCAATAATTAATAATTACACTAACCATTGGTTCGAGAAGTAGTTGATAAACGCAACAACTGTTTGTCAACAATGTTTTTTTGATGTGGCTAATCAGTTGCAGCATTTCAATTCCAAAGCTTGCCAAAGCCATAATGCCAACTTGTTTGTTTGTTTGTTTGTTTGTCTGTCATTGTTTGGTTTCCTGGTTCTAGGATGGGCGTTGTGTCCAAATCACTGGTTTTTCCTGGTTCTAGGATTGGGCGTGCTGCCCAAACCATTGTTCCCAGATAGCGAAGCTATGGGGTTCTTACTTCAAATAACAATGAGTTGCCCGTGCGCGCTTTCGAGACAGGTGGTTGCTGGTGCTGGGTGCCGGTGCCGGTGCTGGTGCTGTGAGCTGGCTGTGCACGTGGTGGAGACAGGTTGTTGCTGCTGGTGCCGGTGCTGGTGCCGGGTGCCGGTGCTCGAGCTGGCTGTGCGCGTGGTGGAGACAGGGTGCTGGGCGCTGGTACGGGCTGTGGTGCTGGTGCTGGGTGCTGTGTGGAGACAGGGCGCCGGTGCTGGGTGCTGGCAGTGCGTGGTGGAGGCAGCTGGGTGCTGTGAGCTGGCAGTGCGCGTGGTGGAGACTGGGCGCCGGTGCTGGGTGCAACAGCTGTGTCAAGGGCTGTACTGTTTGTGCGCATACTTTTGCATGTCGCAACGTCAGGCTCTCAACCGACCATTGTTTCAGCATGTTTCAGCGTGCTACGCGCACACACACGCACACAATAGTCGCGCTGGATACTGCTTGGCCTTGCGTGAGTGAAGCCCACGGGCATGCCAGTTGCGCGCGTACTTTTGTGCGCGTAAACTTATACGCGCAAGATCATATGGCCTTATCGTTCTACAGATCGTTGCTTCAAGCATGCTACAAAGTCAATAGTGGCGCTGGATACTGCTTGGCCTTGGGCCACTGACGCTTACGGGCTTTGCTTTTTGCGCGCGTAATCTTATATGCGGTTCTTACTACAAATAAGAATGGGCTGGCTGCGCGTGCTTTCGAAAGGGTGTCGGTGCTGGCGCTGGTGTTGTGGTCCTGGGTGTTGGTGCTGTGAGCTGGCTAAGCGCGCGTTGTCAGCTGGGAGAGCGCGCCGGCGCTGGTGTCAGCTGGTTGTGCGCCGTGGAGGCGCCGTATGCAGGCTGTGCAGGCTGCGTACATTCTTGTTCCAGCCAGTCGCATGTCAACAGGTCGTGGGATTCTGCCTAGCTGTCTGGGTCTATGCTGGTGTAATTTTTGTTTGGTTTGCTTGTTTTTTGTTTTTCCACAGATAGCGAAGCTATGGGGTTCTTACTTCAAATAATAGCGAGTTGCCCATGCGCGCTTTCGAGGCAGGTTGCTGGTGCTGGTGGGGTGCTGGTGCTGGTGCTGTGAGCTGGCTGTGCACGTGGTGGAGACAGGTTGCTGGTGCTGGGTGCCGGGTGCTGGTGCCGGTGCTGGCGCTGGTGCTGTGAGCTGGCTGTGCGCGTGGTGGAGACGCATTGCTGGTGTTGGTGCCGGGTGCCGGTGCTGGTGCTGGTGCTGTGAGTTTTTAGAATATTTTAAACTTTTCAATAGGCTGAACATTTACAAAATCTAATAAAAATTGGGCTTACTGTTTTCAATGTTTTGAATGTTTGAAAGATTAAATTGATTCATCGAATTGGCAGCCCTCTTGAATTTGATATTTTCAGTATTTTAAATATTCTGCTAATCAAAAGTTGACATATTTTAACATTGAAGTTAATGTTCTAAATATTCGAAGTTTTCTGCCTCTTTAAATGTTTGAAATTATTAAGATTAAATTTCACGTGTTAATTTTTCAATATTCCGCCGATTCAAAAGGATTTAAAACATTTATAAATTCAAAGGGGTTGCCAATTCCAGGGATCAATTGAATATTCTTAAAACTTAAAACATTTAATTCAATCTTAAATCAATATTTTAAGTATCTTGTAATGGGCGAAATATTGCAAGTATTTAAAATTTACAATTCAGTTTACAATTCATTAGACTGAATGTACAACAACTATACAATATTGAATAAACATTTAATGGTTCAAATGTGCTAAACTGTTTCAATATTAAATAGATTTCTTGCCACCCTTTGAATTCAATATTTTAAAACTTTGCAATTTTGAAACTTTGGTGCTCTCAAGAGGGGGGACCAAAGTTCCAACGCTCCAAAGATCCAAAACTGCACAAGCTGGGGGCCTCCAAAGTTCCAAAACTGCAGACCCCATGCCATGCCCTGACCATGGCCACTCTGGGGACATAGGTCTGTGCAGTTTTGGAGTTTGGGAGGGCCTCCAAAGTTCCAAAACTCCAAAACTGCACAGACGTATTGGGTCTACAGTTTTGGCGTTTTGGTTTTCTATAGGAAATTTGTATATACAAAAATATGCATACAACACAGTAAATACACGTAAATTTGATGAAAGGGTGTTTTTGATTATTTTTTGCGGGGTACTATATATATATATATATATTGGAAAAGTTGCTTTCATGTGAAAGAATTGCTTTTTGCTGTCACAGGCCAATGGCTTTGAGTGGACAGCTCGCGCCCGGACAGCATGAGGGGGAAAAAGTGAAGTTTGACGCCAGCTCTAGCAGCTCCTTGCAGTTGGAAAGGACTTTCAAAAAAATTACAGTAATCCGTAATCCTGTTGAAGAAACCCGTTTCTCCTTGTTTCAGCAATTGCGCACTCTGCCCTGCAGAAGAAACGCCTTGGGATAATTGCCGCGCAGGCCGCACATCTAGGATTGCAATATGCGATTCTGCCTCCTCCACATTCAGCACTTGACAAAGGCGCCTGTGGCTGTGGTTTCAATTCTTTGTGCCGCTTACTCAGCATAGAATGCTGCAGGTTTCCACCAACCTTGATGGACACCTCAAGCTTGTCTATTCTCCTTGTATCATCAGTTTTTCCCGAACAGTCCTAGCAACACTGTAGAGCCAATTTGCATTGCCATGTTCAAAGCGCCTGAAGTTGAACAACGCACGGTGAGCGCCTGAGTGACAGGTGCAACTGGCAGTGGTTGCAGCTATGCCCGAGCTGTTGGGGTGGGGATTGCCACATCAATGATTCGAATTGGGATTAACTTTTGCATTGTGTTTGCAAGTGCTAGAAACCACATACTTTGATGAATACATTGGCGCATTTGAGTTGTTGAGAGAGGGGGGAGAGTGAGGCTATTGTCACCCAAGCTTCCACATTGACGTCGAGAGTTCGCATGCAGCAATTAATACGTCAGACTTTGTCTCCGACAGTGGGGCTGTTTGCTTGGCTTTTACAAGATGACTCATTCAAAAGATGCTGGGAGCTTCGCAAGCGCGGCCAAAGCCGTCAATAATTGACCATTAGATGATTATTAACATATACGGCTAGTTGTACGTAGTACACGGCTTGTCACAGAACGGCCGGTAAGCTTGGCGGCTCAGGCCTTTCGGATAGAAGGGGGCCCAGCGTTGCCGCCATGGATGACAGCGATGACATGTCGCTGGTGTGCAGTCTAGCGGCTGGACAGTGACCCGACTAGCTGCACTACAAGGTGGGGGTGAGGACATGCTGGGCGCAGTGATTTGGCGCATCCAGCAGAAAGACGAGGAGTTCGCAATCAGCAAAGAGACGTTAGCAGACCTGGTGACGAGAGCGGGAACACGAGCGCGCACTCGCCATTTGGTCGATGCAAAGCGTGGCTCAGAGGCTTTGCTGGAGGCTCACGTCGCTCACCAAAGGGAGCTTCGCAGGAGGACTTTCGAGAACGTGGTGCAGGAGGACGTCCTCTCGAAGGTGGAACTAGTTGGTACAGCCAAGCGAGGAAGATGGCCGACACGGCTCAGCATGAAGCTCCACATTGCCTCCAGCGACTTGGCATTGAGGGAGCTCGCGGAAAAGCAAGAGCGTGACAGGTGGGTGAAGGAGATCAAGGACATTGTCAAGTCTGCTAACCTGCCGGTTGCGAGACGCTCGAATGACGATTCGCTGATGATCCGCGTGGCCAAAGGCAGAAGAGCCAACACGTTGAGAAAGCACGTGAAAACGTGGATGAAGGCCTCCCGCTGGATGGATGCTGCCTTCGGCTACACGTGGCCTGGGAGTCCGGAATGCTTCGCAGAGTTCATTGAAGCAATGGTCGAGGAACCCTGCTCCAAGAGCTTCCCCAAGTCGGTCTACAAGGCCTTTATGTTCTTAGAGTATGCTGGAAGGTGCCGGAGTCGGAGCAGATGTGTCGCGCCCCGGCCATCAAGAATGCCTTGGAGGAAGCTGCATCGAGGCTTCAGTCGGTTGAGGTGAAGTGGACCAAGAAGGCGCTCCTGATCCCGGTCTCCATCGTGTGATGGCTTGGGAATCCTTCGTGTGCGACGAGGAGATCACCAGCTACCGACGGATCTATGCATGGTTTCGTCTAGTGAAACTATGGACCGGGATGCGCTTTGATGACACAAAAGGAACGCCCAACAGGACTATGGAGTTCGACAACAACGGATTGAAAGGGGTGATCAATCGATCGAAGACTTCAGGTCCGGGCAAGCGGGTGGTGCTACTGCCGTTCTATGTCAGCAAGCAGGCCTGGATCGTGGAGGAACGTTGGCTGGAGGTTGGCTGGAAGTTATGGACAGCCCTGGGCGCCGAGGCAGGCATGCTCACGAGGGACTTCATGCTGCCTTGGCCTGCACGGGCTTCATCCGGAAGGTGGTCGACTACCCGATTGCGTCGACAACGTCACAGGCCCTCTTTAACGAGATCAAGACGGGCAAAGGCGAGCAGAGGTCAGCTCTGCTACATCCGGGCATGGGGGTGCTCTGGACGGAGCACAGCGAGCGTACGACCATTCGTACGTGGGCACAGGCAGCGAGGGTGCCCGAAGATGTCCGGAAGATGATCGGTAGATGGCGGCCATCTGCCGACGAGGCCTATGAACAGAATGTGAAGGTGAACGTGCGTAGCTTTCAGAGGGTGGTCGCCACGTTCGTGAAGGAGAACATCGGAAACTCCGACCCGTTCGATGAGACGGTGGTCGTGCAGTTGGTGGAGCAGCGCATGCAGGGGATGGGCTGCACACAGGAACAATGCGATGAGCAGATGATGAAGCTCATGACATACATGCCAGGGTCGGATGCGGCCAAGGCGTGCTGGACCACCACGGGACCCATCGTGCTGGTGGAGGACGGGAGCGATTCGGTAGAAGTGAAAACCGAGCTGCGCGCAGAGTCCATTGAGGAAGAGATTGAGGAGGAGAATGAATTCGAGCAGCCTGGCATCACGCCGCTAGAAAAGGTAGCGGGCATGTTTGTCGTCTCGATTGTAGGTCGGTCGAAGACCCGGACCTTACATCGCGTAGGCGAATGTCACAGACAGCCAGGTCTGCATTACGCGCAATTCGAGGTGCTGGGTGAAGAAGCACCCGGTACGACGGCATACCACAGGGCTTGCCGCCAGTGCTTCAGAAAGGGTGTGACGAAGTCTTCTGAGGCAATGGGAGCTCCCGGGGAGGACGAGTCCTCGGTCGTCGGAGATGACGGAGTCAGAAGGGGATGAGAGCACGGGGCGAGATTTTAAGCTGCAGGCAAGCATCCCGTGAGACAAAAAGCGGAGAGAACCGCGCTAGGCAAGTGTGGCACGAAATAGGGCACTGTGCGGGGGGCATCGGGCCAAGGTAGTGTGCTGCACGAGGGGGTTCATGAAGTTGCTTTGTGTTGAAGCTTCTTCCTTTCATGCTTGGTAGAGAGATCTTGACGAGGGCGTCGTTCGCGGTCGTGTCGAGTCGTTTGTGTTGTAAAGGCGTTAGGAGGTGCATGTTTTGACATGGCAGCTGATTTGATTTGTGGAGTCGTCTGCAACGGAATGGTTGGCAGGTGTGAGGATAGTTGATGAAAGCGTTCTTTTCGGCCTAAGCAGGGGAAGGGCCGGAAAAGGCGCGTCGGCGTGAAAGGCGGGCCGGCGCAGGAGAACGGAGCTTAGAGCATGGCCGGGATCGGACATGACGAGGTCTTGCAGGCCAAGCTCGCAGTCGCCAAGGTCCGCAGCATCAGCCGGATGAGCGCTATAGCGGACGATAGAGCGGGAATGCGAAAGTTCTGCGCAGATGCATTGGCCCTTGATGACACACGGGATGTAGTGGAGATTGCTTCACTGGTGGACGCATGGGAGTCCGCCAACACGAGGGTCAGCATTCGCAACAAAGCAGAGGCTGAAGCAGGAGTTGCCAGCATGCCACGGGCTTTGAACAAAGTGGAGGTGCAGGAGCTCATGAGCAGATTTCAAAAGGTCTTTGGCATCAAGCTGGAAGATCGCAACACGCCAGCGGCGTCGACCTTGGAGCAGATCTTTGACCAGATCGAGCAGGGCGAGCTGAAGAATATGAGCCTCGTGCAATTCCTCAGCAGGGAAGATGCAGAGGCAGACATCTTGGGCGCAACAGTAGAGAAGGGCGCCGGAACGCTCAAGATCAAGAAGGGATATGGTGAGTGCCAAAAGCCCCGGAATCCAGAAGAGTTCCGGAAGAGGATGTCGGTGGTGGCGCATGCCTATTTGATGGCGCAGTTGAAATACCCACAGAAGGCAAGTCTTCGTGATCTTCAACCGCAACACTTCCTCAAATATTTGGATTTGATGTTGGGGGATCACGTGCTGGGCCTCAAGGCACGTGGAAAAGACGGTGAAGTGGTCGCCTCCCCGGACTTTGACTTGATGCTGTCGTACGACTTCCAGGTGCGGCGGCAAATGGTCAAGTTGGTGAACGAAGGAGCAACGATGATCGAGGCACTGAGGGAGGCCATGGCTGACACCACCATCAAAGAGAGATATTTCCTGACACCCAATGTTTACCCGCAGGTGTCGGGCATAGCCAGCTCGTCGCGGGGCGACTACAATCGATCAAGGAGTCCCACATGGACCAAAGGCAAATGCAAGAAGGGCAAGGGCAAAGGAAAAGGCAAGAAGGGCCGCCAGATGACAGAACTCCAGACGGCAGGCAAATTTGCTGGAAATGGAACAATCCGCGAGAGCGGCGCAGGCTCCAATGTGGCAGGCTTCATGTGTGCCAGATTTGCTTCGCATCCAGCCCATGCATGCGACGGGTCAGGCAAGAGCAAAGACACGGCCGGCACGCCGGCCGAGGCCAGCAAGTCCGCTTGAAGAGAAGACCCCGGCGAGGGGGCCCCACCCTCGTCGGAGCAAGAGGTCACTACGAGGGGCACACGTCAACGCCGGGTGCTATACCTGTTCAGCGGGGCACGTCAAAAAGCATCAGTTACCTCGTTTCTGCAGGAGCAGTCGTCAAGCACTGGCATACAGTTTGAGTTGCGTGAGATAGATATTCAGAATTCACCCGATTGGGACCTGGCAGATCGTTCATTTCAACAGAAACTGCTTCGGGAGCTGGAGCAAGGGCGATACCATGTCGTTCTGCCACCCTGCTCTACCTGGGCCAGAGTGCGAGGAGCAAACAGTCGAGGACCACCCTCCATTCGTTCTCGAGAACGTCCCTGTGGGGGTTTCCTTGGCTCTCCAAGCGCCACCTCAAGGACGCCGAACTTGGAAACTTCCTTATTATTCGCTTCATGATCGAAGTGTTGCAGGTCTTGGAGCTGCATCTGATCACCTTCGACGGCTACAGGGTGTTGGTCTTTGGGGAGCACCCTGAGGACCTGGGCGCCAGCTGGCGCGAGGAAGATGGCATGAAGATGCAGCCAGCTTCCATTTGGCAATTGCCAGAGCTGCAGAGGGCGGCACAAGAAGGCAACGCCTTGCACCTTTTCACAGTGGTCTTCAACCAGTGTTGCTGGGGTGCACCCTATCGCAAACCCACCAGGTTGCTTACCAACTTGCAGGCACTCAGGGACTGGGGCCCTCTGGCATGGCCTACTTTTGATGGGCAAGGCTGCTACTCGGGCCCAGCAACAGATCTTTGCGCCTGCCTGCCTACAGTTTCCCTGGCGCGGACGGCAGCCGATGACACGTTTCGCACTTCAGCTACCTCCATTTATCCAGAACCTATGGATAGAGCCTTGGCACAAGCTATTCTTTCTGACCTTCAAGTTAAACCCTCTTCCACTAAAGAGGGGGGAGAATGCAGGAAGAGGGTTTTGGACCCCGAAGATGGCAAGACGACCAAGAGGCCGAGGCTCGAAGCAACATTGGGCAGGGACAAAGCAACATTGTGCAGTGGCAAAGCAACATTGAGCAGTGGTCAAGCAACATTGTGCAGTGGCAAAGCAACATTGTGCAGTGACAAAGCAACATTGGGCAGAGCGGCATTGGTTGGCGCAGCATTGGGAGGCTCAGAGTCGTCTGGTTCACGGGTTAAGCCGGGCATTGGCCCGCCCATTCAGACCAGATACAAAGGTACTGCGCTCCATCCATGACGGTGCTGGTCCCGTCTTCTGAGCGGGGCAAGCTGTTGGCCAGGTGGTGCTTGAAGGCGTTCGAGGACTGGGTTGAGCTTGAGGGCGAGGAGAGAGCTAAGAAGCTCTTCTGGGAGACCGCCGCGAGCAAGCGCGGGAGCTCACCGTTTCGGAGGAGAAATATTTGGCTTTCGTGAGAGGCTGGACCTGTGGCTCAAAGAGAATGGGGAGAGTCCTGAGAGAAGGGCATCGGATCGCCACACAGAGATTCACTTCCGAAGGCTGAGGGCAGTGGCCCGGGTGCTGCAGGATGAAGACGCGGACTTCTTGGAGGAGGTTGTCTCCAAGGGGGTGCCTTTAGGAGTCGATGAGGAGATGCCGAGAAACCCTGCAGTGTATGAGGAGAAGCAGAAGTGGACGGTCGATCAGACAGAGGACGACTTCCACGACACCGTGGCCGAGAACTACGTATCAGCAGAGGAGAACTCGGCTGACATAGCAAGACAGGTGCTTGAGGAGGTTGAGAAGGGCACTATACTTCGACTGTCCGAAGAGAGGGCGAAGGAGAAGTTCGGCGGTCGCTTGGCAGTTGCAGCATTGGGGGCGGTGCCCAAGGAGTTGGGCACGACCAGAGTTCGGCTGATTCATGACGGCGCGTACAGCGTCGATGTCAACCGAAGGATAAGGGTTCGGGATCGTATGCGGTTCCCTCTCATCGATGACGCAGCGGCAGTGCTTAGGCAGGTGAAGGAGGACAAGGACGAGAAGAACGAGACAGTCAGGTTTTCCGTCCTCTACGACATTGCACGGGCCCACAAGCTTATACCCGTGAGAGAAGAGGACTAGCATTCAGAATGCCTGGCGAGTCTTCGGGACATCTTCGTCCATACCCGGGGGACCTTCGGCATCGCAAGTGCAGCCTACTGGTTCGGAAGGGTGATAGGGTTCGCGGTGAGGAGTTGTCATCGCATCATGGGGTGCTACATGGGAGTGCTCCATTTGATCTACGCAGATGATGGGTGGATCGCAGCCTCGGGCACACGCTTCTGGAAGAAGGTACTGATGTGGTTGTTTCTTTATGAACTTCTTGAGATTCCGATCACCTGGAAGAAGGTCCGAGGCGGGGCCGAGGTTGACTGGATTGGATATCATCTTGATGTGGCAACCTTTTCACGGGGCATCAATGAGTCGAAACGGGTTTGGATTTGCAACTGGATTGACAGCAAGCTGCAACAAGGAGGCGTGGTTGGCAGAGAGTTGAAGTCGGTCCTCGGCCGCCTCTCTTTTGTTGCGGGGGCCTTGAGGCATGTGAGACCGTTTCTGGCCCCACTATTCTCGTGGTCCTCTAAGCTAGCTGGCGGCACGTTTGCAAGCTTTCCCGACTCCTCCTGGAGTATGTGCGGGAAGAGGTGTCTCGACAGCCCAAGAGGCCACTGGAACCGCTGCTCACCAGCCCCTGCGATATCTTCCGTGTTGATGCAAAAGCCGCGGGAGAAGAGATCGTCATCGGCGGCTGGGAGACGTGGCAGGACGTCGAGCCGAAGAAGGCACGGCGGTTCTCGTTCCGGCTGAACCGGAGGAATGCCGCTTGGGCATACCTCAAGGGCGACCCTTTTCGCTCGATTGCAACGTTGGAACTGATTTGTGCTGGCCGCAGTCATGGTGTTAGCGCCGGGCTCGAAATGGGCATAGGGCGACTCCAAGATCACCCTCGCAGCGCTGACAGACAACTTGGGCAATACACATGTCTCGAGGAAGTTTGGCAGCAGCCGATACCCGCTGAGCATTGTGGCCATGGAATTAGCATCTCAGTTGGACAGGCGTGGCATTGAGCTTGACTTGCAGTGGGTACCTCGTTGGCAGAACCAAGAAGCAGATGATCTTACCAACGAGCGCTTCGAGGACTTTGACATGGCCAATAGGGTTGAGGTGCAGTTTGAGAGTCTTGACTTCCTGGTTATGGATCGCCTCCTCAAGAAGGCGGGAGAACTGGACGAAGAGCTGCGCCTATTCAAGACCTCGAAGGAAGCAAAGCATGCTTCGGCGAAGACGATGCCCGAGAAGCACAAAGCTAAGAAGGGTCAACTTCGATGGCAAGATCCTTGGTGAACAAGGCACGGGGGCGAATCGAAGTCGTGAGTTCCCTTCACAAATTAGTTGTAAAAAAAGGGTGGGGCAGCGCGGGCCTCACTGTTCTAGCTAAAGTGGGGGGAAGGCACAGTAAGGCCATGGTTCCGCTCCGTAAGAAAGATAAGTAAGAA